ATTTTTTTTTTTTGTGACTGTGTTATTAATTGATCTATTAGATTTTCGGTTGCTCAACGAGCTTTTTGCTAGTGCTGGTTGAAATAAACAAATCAATAGTTAGACCAACACTTAATAATTAGTATTTTTCTCTACTTAATTATTTAGATCAATTTCCTAATATTTCCTTGTTACGTCCTGGCCCCTGGAAACGGTCGGGCATGAACGGAGCGTAACACTTGTTGAATTTTCTTTATCTCTTGACACGCACACTTGGAGAAACGGTCGTGTGTGCGTGCGAGAGTCGAGCGATCTTTCGGGTCCGGCGGACGGGTCAACGGTCGTGTGCCGCTCTTCCTCCGTCGCTCTTTGGACTTCGCTCGTGTGTCTCTGTTTAAGGCCTGAGACGCAAATCTCAATTGCCTGGGACGAGACTGTGCGATCTGTTTAGAGGTGCAGGATGGTGGGCAAGAAGTCAATTAATGATGTTTTAGACAATATTTATAAGCGAACATATATATTTGCTTGTCATAATTTTATATGTTGTTACTTATTTACAATTGGCATATTTTATGTGTAGTTATTTGTTTACAATGACATAGTTTATGTGTAGGATTTTATTTACAATAGACATAGTTTCAGATGATTCATAGTTTACAAATTTTTAATTTGTGAGTATGTATGTGTTGCAAACTCAGTCTAGTTCAACTTCTATTATTTCTGTGATTTTACAGGAAGTCGGAGGGAAAAATTTATAGAAATGTCTTACAGGGACTAACCTGTGTTCCGAGAGGAGGAGGAATTTAACCGTGAGGAGGGCATCTGGAGGGTAGGTGGAAATTATCCGGTGGAGTTTGGGGGGATCTAGGTTTTAAGGATCGACTATATACGCGGTGGAGGGGTAGTGATTTTGTAGGCAGAGGCGAGCGCTAGGAGATGGAGAGGACGGGGGAAGGTGCGTGGACGAGAGGAGTCGGCAGGGCGCTCGCCTAAATGTTCCGGTTCGGGCGAGGATGATGGCGAAGGGCGGAGTGGAGGAGAGCGCGGGGGAGAAGTGGGTGCAGAATGGACCTCAGGAGGGCTCACGGAAGAACGTGACGGTTCTGGATGCGTTGGAGAGGAGGAGCGGGGAGGCGACTGAGTTCGCAAATTTGGTAGTGTGTCGGTGTTATTATTATAACTACTATTGCTGTTTTCATAATTTTTGCTACTTCCTAGCGGCGTGTCTGGTACGGTGAGAGGAGTCTCGACAGGTGTTTGTCGTTGTGCCTCAGCCTGTTTTTGGGCCCGTTTTGCGGCTCTTCGCCGATAACACTTGACAGTATTTCTCGACGTCCACCGTTTTTCGGGAACGGGCGAGTCCATTTAAAATTCGCGATTATAGTTAAGTTCCTAGTGGCACGGGTCTTAGAGATCGGTTGCTGCCTAAGTTTATTTACTGTTTCCTTTCCGCGATTTTATGTTTGTGGGCGCGAGAGCCTGCGCTGAGAGTCGCTTGACGATCCTTGCGAATCGTCTGCAGCCCGTATCAGCGTTAGCTCGTTCGAAGATGCGAGAGCGCGCTGAGAGTCGCTTGACGATTCGTGCGAATTGTCTGCAGCCCGTATCAGCGTTAGCTCATTCGGAGATGCGAGAGCGCGCTGAGAGTCGCTTGACGATTCTTGCGAATCGTCTGCAGCCCGTATCANCGTATCAGCGTTAGCTCATTCGGAGATGCGAGAGCGCGCTGAGAGTCGCTTGACGATTCTTGCGAATCGTCTGCAGCCCGTATCAGCGTTAGCTCGTTCTAGACAAGGGGAGCAACCGTTCTCGTAACTACCTTAAAATTGTGACAACTAGCAAAGAATTTTATGGATTTTTAAATTCTGATCGCGGCGTGAGGCACAAGTAACGTATTTGCGACTTAATACTAGCACTTACTACTTAATCTTGTAATAGGCGGCAGCAAGGTGGTGGTAGCAACAGAGCAGCGGCGGCAGCGGTCTCGGGTCAGCTCCAATTGCAAACCAGTAGGATCCACACCCGTCACAAACACAATTGTTCTTTGAGTCACTCGTTTCGCCTGCACTACGTTTGCTCACGTATTGACAAGGACCGCACTTTGGAAAATCTCGTTTTGTTCTGACTCGAAGAGCTCCTGCGGGGCTCTTTTATACCCGCGACTCGGAAAACTTGGGACCAATCGAAATTTCACGATAGGTCACCCAATTTCTCGTTATCCGTCGGATTTCCCTTGATTTTATGTTCCCGAGATGTAAGTTTTCGTTTAAGATTAAAAAAGGAAAATTAATCAAGAAAGAAAAACAGGAATTTTCCAAACTCTGTGTTTCTTGATTCGAACGATCATTGATATCCGATACGATCATTGGTCTCGCGCCAGAACCGCGCGGCAGCGTTCCCGTGATATCATATCTCGTTGTTGTCATGTCGCGAGGATGAAGTGGAGTCCACGGGACGTAACATCCTATTACCTGATTAATTCTTCTTTACTCTAATTAAGAATGGCGGAGCTTTCTGAAAAAAATCGAATAACACTATTAATGATGCGAGGATGGGGAGATCAACAAAGAGGGTATAAAATAGTAACGCAATTATTTAATGAAAATTTTCGGAATGAAAATAATAGGATCTCTAAAAGTACTGTAATCCATATTATTCAACGTTTCGTGAGAGCACACAAACTCGCTCGACTTTGCCGCAGCGGGATCGCCAACCTGCTGTGCGGAGATAAACAGAAACAACAGCTTTCTGTTACTCCACCATAGCCCGACCGTAACCGTGGGCCAGGACGTAACAGAACTGCGTAAAATTGGGGGCTCGTCCGATTTTTTCGAAGAAGGGAAAAGGGAAAGTGTTGTTTTTTCGATCACGCCACATAGACCCTTCGATATTTATTGAGTGATAAATCTTTTTTATGTAATTGCTCGTGGCGACGGATCTTTACTTGCGCCGGCTGCCCTAAATTTTATAGGATGTATTTCTTTGACCCGGAGATAACCGGGTTTATTTGGAAAGTTGCTCGGGATGTTTAAACAATAATAAAAATTTCTTTTTGCTATCGTCTACAAAGGAATTTTTAGGATCGGTGCTAGGCTCGGTTTATTTTCGGGCGTCGACACGATTTCTATTTGCGCGCCTATCGCGTCGAAGTCCGAGTCCGTTCGTGTTATTTATTGTTTCTAAAAAAAAAAGGAATTTATTGTATGTCGGCGCGTCACGTTGCAAGGAAAGGGGCACCGTGGAGTCTCAGGACGTAACATTATTCATTATCGCGCTCTGCAACAATGTGTGCGACACGGTCTTTGTATTACAAAGATTCACCGTATATTACAATTTGCGCAATCTCCGTGGCTCCGCAGGTACATCAAATTAAACACACAATTTCGGACGCTCGCTACCAACGACTTTGAGAAAAATTTGTACAACTTGATAAATAACGCAGTGTTTGGCAAAACTATGGAAAATGTGCGAAACCATGTAGACGTAACAAAGTAAAACTCGTAACAAAGTGGGATAAAAGATATGGTGCGAAAGCATTGATCTCCCAACCAACTTTTTATAGTTGAAGCGTTTTTTCTGAAAATTTTATTGCGATTGAATTGTGTAAACTCGAAGTGAAATTCAACAAACTGATCTACGTAGGAATGTGTATATTAGACATATTCAAGACGTGTTTGTACGAATTTCACCACGATTACATGGCACTTCTGTACCAAGAAAAATGTAAAATTATGTACACCGACACAGACAGTTTCATTTATTTCATCGAATGTGAGAACGTGTATGATATCATGAAACGTGACATCGTTCGATTCGACACAAGTGATTATCCGACTAATAACGTGTACTGTATGTCACGCGTCAACAAAAAGATTCCAACACTAATAAAGGATGAGAATAACGGAATGATAATGACTGAATTTGTCGGACTTAGAGCAAAAATGTATGCATTAAAGGTAGATGGAAAGAAAGACACGAAAAAGGCCAAAAATGTAAAGAGTAGCGTCGTAGCAAGAACATTAACGTTTGACGATTACAAACAATGTTTGAATGATGAAATCGAAAAGATTTGTCGACAGTCGTGTATACGATCAAAGTTACACGAAGTATACACTGTGTCCGAATCGAAACTTGCTCTAAGTCCGTACGACGATAAGCTGTATATGGTACCCAATTCATCCGAAACGTTACCATGGGGACATTACAAAATACCACAAGAAAACCGTGTAATATAGATTATATGTATATTGTCATTTAATATTAAGTGTAATAATAATTATGTATATATGGTGTATATAAATATAACTTCTGTATATAGTGTATTTACAACACATTAGTTTTATCTATCTAAAAGTTGTATGACTTGTCTAATCCTAGCCACTTTACATAAACCTTATCGCCTTTCTTGCGTAATACTTTTTCCACAAGATAAACGTCTGGATGTGCAACGGGATGCAGTTCGTATTCGTAGAATCCTCCAGCAACAAATTGCCCGCGTGAATTCTCAAGCAGATACGTCACAGGATAGGTCGTTTGTATTTTACTGATTTTAAATACTTCGGTCGTCCAATTTGGCGTATATCTTTTATTGAATACTGTTTTAAATTTGCTCACGCGCACCGGATCACTAACTTTGAATCGTGCTGGCCCTGCGATCTTGACATTGCTGTACACTGTGATTAAGAGCTTATCGGCGATTGCTGGGGTAACATTGATAAGTCGCATGCCAATAGTTCGATGTTTTCTCGCGTTGTACTCCATAAAAAGACGCGGTAATATGTCAATCTATTTGTAGGTTCCGTTAAGTGTAAATTGTTTCCACATGTCGTTCTTCAACGTACGGTTGAATCGTTCGACAATTAAAGCCTTCATACCAGAATATGTGGAATAATCATTAATGTTATGCTTCTTCATCAGTGTTTGTACATCTATATTACAGAATTTCTTTCCACGGTCAGTTTGCAAATTGTTTGGACATCGTTTGTTATTCCGAAATATTCCTGCAAAACTTTTGGCGACTTCGCATCCATTTTTACTCTTAAGCGGTATGGCCCACGCGTACTTGCTCAGCACATTGATAACCGTAAGTATGTAGTGTTAGCCTCTGTTGAAGCGCGAATACGGACGCATCTCTACCACATCCGCTTGCCAGAGATCATCGTACCCGCGTACGATAACGCGTTTACGGGGAAAATTTCTTCTTGTCGGAGCATGCAATTTTTCTACGAGACGTTGTTTTTCGATTGTAGCACAATTTGTCGCCATAGATGTCTTACTACATGTTTATTCTCCGGCGTGTCAGTCGTTTTATTTTGGTTTGATAGATATTGAAGTGTACGCTGAATGTGTTTTATAGCGTCGCGCAACGCTTGGACATCCTGCTGCAATGCGATAAGTTTTTTCTCACGTGTCTCTTGCCATTCATTCACACTCGTGACACACATATCTACATATCGTTTGTTGGCGGCGTCAGTGTCGGTATCAGATTGCGCTATGTGTAGTATCTTACGCGACCTTGCATTGTAGCCGGAACCGACAAAGCAGAGAGCGATATTACTCACGTAATTTCGCAGTATTGCTTCTCTCTCATAATAATACATTGACGCTCCATGTGTTCCGAGCGATATCCCAAATTTGTTGATTGGGATGATGACGCGCACACGACTGACTCTAACGCCGACGCGCTATTTAATTTATAATGAATCCCGCTTCGCGGAGTTCCTCGATGATTGACAAGATTTCGTTGTCGTGAGCATTATTGCCCGCTTGATGGGAAGCGTCTAGCAACCGCAGACGGTCGACGAGTTTATTGAGATCGTCCCAGTGCGCGTACTCGATCTTACGATCGCTTAGCGTCATATTACGCGGTATGCCTTTCCTTTGTTTAGTACGCACATTAGATATTAAAGGTGCAATTATGTATCTGTATTTGTATCCTTTGTTACCCAGTATTGCACCGAGCTTATTGTGATGTTTTCTATGAGCATGTGTTATTTCCAGTATCTTTTTGTATCGTTGTTTATCTTTCTCGGTATATAACTCGCTCTTTGGACATTTCATGGAAATCAATTCAAACAATCCTTGTGTTGCTTTGAATCGTATACCATCTATGATTATATTATTTTGTTCATCCACGTCAGAACACTTATCACCGAGCATCATTCCATCGTTGTCAAAATACACATCATATACGTAGTTTATGTCGTTCTCTTTCTTACCACTTATGACAGCTTTTATATATTGTTGCGCCAACGGACCAAAATAATTTTGAAACATTTCAAGACCTTTTAACGTTTGCATTTGACGTTAAATAGTTGACTCAAACGATTTGTTGGTAGTAGCATCAGTAGCGACGATAGTGTCAATCGATGGAGAATCCCATGTCAATTGTCGTTCGGTTCGTTCTTTCGTCGGAGTAGAAGTCGCCATTGCAGTGTTATATCGTGTGCGCTTTGAATTTGTAAAGTAGGGGACAGTGTTTTGTTCGATGTCTGTGTTCGTTTTCGCGTCGTCTCGTGTGACGTGTTTTCGAAAAACACTGTGTCCGACGTCTTTTGCTTAGTTTCCGTATTTTCAGCAATCTGTTTTAAAGGTTCGATAATAGGTTTGAACTGTCTTTCTAATGCAATTTCTTCTTCTAATTTACCGGTTCTAAGAACGCGATATTTTTGACGAATGGATTGACTCGTTTTTGTAATCTCCTTCGCTACTTTCTCGCGATCTATAATTTCACTGCTTTCGTCAGGTGAAGCCATGTTGCTCGCACTGTAGGAGAGACAATACTTGGTTGATGTCTCAACAACGATTAATTACTCGACGGTATTGCGAACTCGTTAAATCCTTTTCTATAGCAATCTCTGTCGAAAGGACTGTCCTTGTCGATTACTAAAAATCCATATTTGTTTTGCCAACATTTGTGGCATAATATACAAAACTTCTCGTACGACATATCCGTATTTACATGATCGTTATACAAATGTTTGAGATTGGTACCATCTTGTTTAAAAAGAATTATCAGATTTGCGTTGTCATGTATAAAGCTGGGTATACACATAGCGAACAAACGCCAAACGAACAGCAAACGCGAACGTTCGTTATTATCATTCGTCAGATCTAGACGCCAAAACAAATGCGAACAGAACATTCGCTTCGCATTCGGATCGGTTCCCTCATGAGGCGGTACATCAAAGAAAATTCGTGCGCGATATGGACGCGCATACGTGCTGTTCGCTGTTCGCTATTGTTCTAACCTTTCTTGTACTACATCGTAACCAAGAATCATCATCGTTTTTATCATTGTTGCCGATTTTGATGTTGTGTTACCGACTTTTACAATGGAATGGACCGAAGAAAAAACCTTACAATTAATTGCAAGTTACAAAGATTATGAACACTTGTAAAATCCTAAACACTTATGTTATCATAATAAATTAAAAAAGCATAGAGCTTGGTAAGAAATAGCGAAAGAATTTAAGTGTCAGGTAAGTGGATTTTACAATAGTACATGTGTATGTGCGTGTTGTGTGTGTGTGTGAAAGAGAGAGAGAGAGAGAGAGAGAGAGAGAAAGAGAGAGAATTAAGAAATCTTTGGAAAAAATACAATTTTGAGAAAAAATATTACTTATGTTTATCTAAATTTATTTAAATTATGTATAATCCATAATCAAAAGTTTTTATTCTAATACATCATACATATTATTTGGTAGGTACCAGAAATAAAGAAAAAAAAATGGATTCCTTATTATCTTCCTTCAGAAGAGAAAGAATGAAGTGTATCACAAAATCTGGATGTGGTAGAGATGAAGTTTATAACTCTACATGGTTTTTTTTCAACCATATGACGTTTCTTTTAGATAAATTCCAACCACGGACAACTTATGATACAAATACTATTTCTGTAAGTACATAATAATATAATATATTGTTACGCTCGCGGTGAGAACGACTCGTTTCCGTCGCTAAACTCCGCGATTCGCGCAACCGTCCGCGGAAATGAGAGAACGCGGCTCTTTGATCAACACTTTATTATTACCTAACCTAAGTACAATAATTTAGTGGGGTTGTGCGTTTAGGTCAGCAGCGATAGTGGACAGCAGCAATGGTGATAGCAGCAAAAGGATGGCGGCCGAGGTGTGGTTCTTTGTAGCAAAGGTTTGATGTTCCAAAAATATGGTTTTTATTCTGTAGCTATTTACAAGCTATTTACATGATATACTTGGCTCTGACAAGGGCCGGTTTGTATAAATGTATGTGCCGGATTTCTCCGTCGGGTTTTGCGATGCCGTGATCGATCTCGTCTGCTGTGGGAGCGAGCTCTCCTCGTACTGGGTGATCGATGTCTGGAACGGCTTCTTTCTCTATGCTGCCGCTTCTTCTCCGGTACACGCTGCGGGATAACCTCGCCAGTGATCTCGGTCTGTACTGCTGTGGAGGTAGTTTTCCTCTCGGTCTGTACTGCTGTGGAGATAGCTTTCCGTGGCGATCGTTCCCAGTCACTGTCACTCGACTGCGTGGACTGATCCTTATATACCAGTCGTTTCCACTGCACCCCTCTATGTACGCGAGGTGGGGGAAGTGTCTGCGTCGACTTGTGAATCCTTTGGCGCGGAGGAGAAGGTATTGGTGAGATGAGCGGTGGAAGAACCAGGCTGTCTCTAGGCGACGTGTATCTCCGGACCCTGATGTCCAACTGTGTTAACAGGGCTCTGGGAGGCCGCGTTCGTCGAGGCGAGGGTATGTTGTGAGGTCGGAGTATCCACGGCCGGAACGACTCTTCTATTGGTCCAGTGGATTCCGCTTTCTGATTGGCTGCCTCTGGTTTCGCCACTCCAAATGGTTCCGAGATGAAGACCGCTCCGAGGTGTACCCCTGGGGATCGTGGAGACGTTGGTCTGGTTATCTGGACTGCTGGAGCGTTGCTGGGTGCTTCGGGATTAATGCTGCTGGTCTTCTGCTTCGGCGCCGCTCACTGTTCGGCGGTAGATATGCGCCGAGCGGGTCTGTATATGTAGACGCCGCGGCAAACTGTGCCTCCGCGCGACACTCGCGGCTATGCGCCACGTAGCGGCGGCGCGCGAACTGCGCGCGTCCTGCCGCACGTAACTTTACTTTTTGGTGGCGGTTATTCTGACCGCCACAAATAATAATTATAAAGAATTCGACCGGATTTACAATACATCGTGACAGAATCCGCGACCGAGAATTCTCTTCTTTAACAACAACCGTCGTCGCCCAGCAACCGACAGTCGCACCGAGCGCGCGCCGTTCACACAGCTCCCGCGGCACATACGCGGTGTCCGCCTCGTAACAATATAAAATAATAAAGATAAAGTAGTAATTATTCAAAACATTAACTTTTATCTTAACTTGGTGTTACACAAGTTAGGTTTTGAGTTATTGTTAAAACAAACTTTAACGTATTAACTTTTTTTCAAGATAAAAATTTACTTTCATAAAAGGAAAAAATTGCTAAAAAAATAATATTTCCATATAAAAAATAATATCTTATTTCATATATAAATTTAATTTATATATAAACTATTAATTTATTTTATAATCTTTTTATTCTTTTGTAATATTTAATAGAAGTATAAGTAATCTAAGATAATATAAAATAAGAGAAAAATAAGACATATATTCTATGAAAAGAGAATTGTTTTATATATTCAGATTTAATTATATTTATCTTGCCAAGGAACACTTCCTATATCTGTTTTAAAGTAACT